ACTGACTCTTGCCCGTATCTAGGCACCAAAATTTCATAGAGGTAAGAAACAAACAGTCAGGACGTCTCACCCACCATGTTTTTACGATCACTTGACCTACTAGCGTCGGTTGCGTCGCTTAACTTCCATTAATATATCCTCTCCAGGGGACTTTTAGCTTATTGTTTTTATCTGTATTCGGACATACTACTTTTTTGGCGCACTGTTTTTCCCATAGCCTACTACAGTATCTAGTATGGGAAGTGTTTGTAGTGTATCCAACTTGTATGCAATATTCTACATTTTTTATAAAAATATGTGGTTGCCTACGTATGTTCTTTCAATTCTCTCCCCTCTCTAGTAGAGTTGTTAAAACGAACTGACTTTGGTACCAAGTCGGTACTGAAATTTAAAAATGTAACAATACCAGCATTTCCCTTTAGCATTTTGAGCGCTGTTGAACGGATTCTTAAACTCCTCTGATTGGCTCAACATATCTGTCTGTGATTGGCTACAATGATTAACAATGATGTCACTCTTCACCAGAGTTGCCTACTTAGCGACTTTGTCGCTATTTTTAGTGACCCCTTTGGCGTCATTTTTTTCAAAAAAGCAACTAGCGACAAATTTAGCGACTTTTTGAATAAACCTCAGTAACCTCCAAATATTGCCAATACTGTCTTGCGAGCGTGAGGTCTTGATTTCTCCCTGTCGCCGAGTGCTTACAAAGATAAACATGTGAGCGTTGAAAAATCCCTAATATATCCACTGATAGACGATCCGCTTTCAAACGCTCTTGTGTGTGTAAGCGCTTGGTGAAGAGTGTCAATGTTTTTCAAGTGTTGATCATTGTAGCCATTACTAGCCAATCACAGACATATACTGTACAGGTATGTTGAGCATGTAAACACAATGGCCAATCAGAGGTGTTTAGGAATCCGATCAACAGCGCTCAAAATGATAGAGGGAAATACTGGTATCATCACATTTTTTTTAAATTTCAGTACCGACTTGGTACCGAAGTTGGTACTAGAGCCCGACCGATAAAGGATTTTGAAGGCCGATACCGATACAAATATTTTGGGGTTTTAAAATCCGATATTTTCCGATATATCGGCCGATATTTTATTTATTTATTTGAAACTGGACATGATAGTCAAAAATGATTGCCAAAAATGATGTTGCCAACAGGGACGGTGTAGAGTGCCCTCTGGTGGACTAACTATACAACTCCAACACTCATTACATGGTTCAAGTGTGTTTCGTCCGTTTTTATTTTATTTTTGAAATATTCATTTATCGGCCATTATAACTGCCGATACCGATAGTTTGGAAAATGCCTAATATCGGCCGATAATATCGGCCTGCCGATATATCGGTCTGGCTCTAGTTGGTACGTTTGACAACTAATTTTTCTGCTGCTGTGTTGGAAATGCTTCTATGATACCCTAAAGCATCTTTGGCTTGTCCAAGGCTAAGCTTTTCAAAAGGCTTGTATAATTCAAAATGATAGTGTAATGGTTCCCAGACTTCCCACAGACCTTGAGCTCTCTCTATTATAATTGTGTTTTGGCAATAAAACATTTTGAAGAGCTAAATATCGATATACCCCTGCAGTGGCTTTCAGGAAGCATGTAACCTGCTGACCAGTCTTACCACTGTGTTTGCATATGTTTGCATTGGTAATTTCCTGCATCACGGGCAGCTTTAATGTTGAATGCAACAGCCTGCTAACCGAGATTGTAACCAGTGGTGATGTGACGTTTAGACAGCAGTGAGGAGTGAGTCATCGCTCACATGCGGATCGAAATAGCTCAAACACAGACACGCATGGAGCCAGCACAACTCTCGTCTGACAGTGTAGTAATCTGTATAGTTTAGAATGTGTCGTCGCAGCACTTTTTACTATTTGATTCATGCGCTAATGACTCCCTGATGGCCGAGGGTAATGAGATCACTTTTTCACTCAAGCAGGGGTTTGATTGACTTTGAATACCTCTGTTTATGAGAGCTAGTCTCCTAACTGCCTCTGCTGATGACCCTTCTAACATCACCCCTCAGTCTCAGGACACTTTGTTTTGTGTCACAGAGGTGCAAGATTCAGATTAGCTAGAAGGGATTGAAAGAGAGAACCTGTGGTAAATTGGTGTGTTACATTGTTGTCACATAATGTTTGACTTTACATGCACATGAATCAGAATTTGTCAATGTTTCGATTAGCATCAAGTCATTTAAACACGCAACTCGGTTACCATATTACTTTTAAGACATTATTTTGAATCCCCAAATTCTTAACCCCATCTCTGGAATTTGTTGCATGTACTTGATTCAGAATGGATTTCCCAACTTTTTCCATTTTGTGGTAACATTTTTGAGATGATTGTGAAATGTAATGAAACTAAAACTGAGTCTACTGTGTAACAAAAGACAGGATCAGAATGAATAAGTGCAATCTAGGTAGAGGTATCCAATTTTTAAAAATTCCGTATGATTCATGTCCTTGTTGGTCCATGAAAAACCTTTTTTGTAAGCAACAAAATTAAGCATAAATTGTATATTTTACATAGTAAATGTTTTGCTAAGTTGTTCGGAGGCCAGCCATTGGTGAAATTTGTGAGAAACACTTATTTACGTAAATTTTCAGCTTTCCGGCGCTATGACACATCTTTTGAAAGAGTTCTGAATCTCCTGATCAAAACACATGTGAAGAAGATGCAGAAACAAGCGATAACATGTTATTTTGGTATTTTCACGTTATTTTCACGCGATTATCAACATAAAACAGCATATAAATCAAAACTGCCCAATGTTACTGAATGAAATGTTGACCCAGGACTGTGAAACATTATATTAGGGGTGTTGATGGACTCGATCTATTCTGTCTATGTTTTGATCATCGTTCTGAATCAGATGTGGATGCAGTCTTTGAGCAAAAAGCAGAGAAAATCACTTTATTGTCAATGTTGCCTTTTAACAGCGTTAACGCAAACCCATTTTAACGGCGTCAATTTTTTTATCGCGCGATTAACAGTCTTTATGTCCTTGCAAACTTTGGAGTTTTCTTTCACATGCTTTTGCAACAGGACGCGGCATGCACGCGCTGCACTATTAAACCCATTAATTTCAATGACTTTCGCCGCGTGAGGACGTTTAGTTGCTTCGTCGACCAAAGCGCAAGCGGATCTAGCTAGACCGGAAATAAAACAACAGGCACACCGCACACACTCGTTTGGGCTTGCGAGCCGGCCAAATAGTTGGTTAACGTACTATTTGACGTACTATTTTTTAGTGTATGACAAGCGCAAGATGCCAAAATGGATGCCAATAAGATTCTGAATGGAAATTTTACTTTTAAAAAGTTGCCAAATGGTTCCAATGACAAGACCAAAGTGATCTGTGTGTTTTGTCGTTGTGAACTGAGCTATCATCATCGCAGCATGTCCAGTCTGAAATACTGCTTAATGATGGCCAAGCACACACACACACAGCTGATGCGAATTCTCCGCCCCCAATATCAGGACTTCGTCAGTATTCCTTTCACCCTTTTATTGATGGACAGTGTTACATTGTGTGAGAGATTATTTGCTCCAAGTGATAATTTTAGTGTGAATTTGAACACGGAAACGTTATATGCCAATGTTTTTTTTCAATAAAAAATTTGCACAAAGCAAGCCGATCCACTTTTCAATTCTGATAAGAGCATTAAAATGAGAAAAAATAATGGGACAAAAAGAAATCAAGAGACATTTAGAATAGAAAAAATGTGAGATTAATTGTGATTAATCGCGAGTTAACTATGACATTAATGCGATTAATCGCCATTAAATATTTTAATCGTTTGACAGCACTAATATATACAGTATATATATATTGCAAGCTTAGATATTCATACCAACAAATATTCTGGGGGCATTTTTGACATTTTTGGGGAAAATGATCAAAAACATTGGGTGTGCTTGGCAACTAAAAAAAAAAAAAACACTGGTGTGGAAAGAGTTAAAAGTGAGTTTCTCTCTCTCACTCTCTCTCTCTCTCTCTCTCTCTCTCTCTCTCTCTCTCTCTCTCTCTCTCTTTAACATCATTGTTAAAGGTAGGGTAGGCAATTTGTTAATGCCACTTTTTGTTATACTGTTTGAAAAATGTTCACATCCTGATAGGAATCAATAATAGAAGTGGTCTAAATATTAAAACGTACATTTATCTTTTGTGGAAGTCTCAGGACCATGTTAATCAAATGTCCTGACCTGCCTTTGCCTGTCAGCATATATGTTTTTCATTTTTAGAGTAGACATCATGTTTCATGAGGAACTTATCAAAGCTAGCTTGCTATTGCTAGCCACCTTGTTGCCTGCCCTACCTTTAAGGACAGTCACTAGCGAATAGCATTTGTGTGATGCCTTCAGTAAGTCAGCTGTCAGAATCTTCTCGCAGCTCTAGAGTAATTTGCTTGCTTCGAGTTCGAAAAACCTGTGACCTAGGACTAAGTTCGCGTAAACGTTTCTTTGTGCAAACTAATGTGAATGGTTTCCCAAGGTCTTTATCATCCTATTAATTTTTCTCTCCCTTTCTCTTCCCAAATGTATGTATGTGTATGTGTCAGTGAAGATAGCATGCCTGCTCTGTCAGTCGCATTGGCCTCTTAAAGAGACACCTCTGCTTTTCTGCTGTGTATCTGCAGTGCCGCCCTCTCTCCTAATCTCTCACTCACCTACTTTCTCTGCCTCTCTCTCTCTCACTCACTGCGGTTCGTCTTTCTGCAGATCTAGCGTTCTTTTGGCCTGTGTGTGTTTGTGTGTGTAGGGCGGAATGGAGTCAGAAGCAGGTTCATGTTGTGCTATCAGTCAGAATTGTACAGTCCACATTTGTCATTGAAACCAGACTTATCTAACTAAAACAGGAGGAAGACACCATATAGAGGACTGGTATTCTGTAAGTCACCACTCGGAGACTAGCTTTTTTTGTGTCTGGGATGTGCTGTATCACATGCATGTCTGTCAATAACCCTGTCTGTATCTTTCTAGGCTGGTTTGGGGACTTTGTCTGTCATGCAAGACCTGAGGAGCGAATCAGAACGTCTCAATGAGGTGAAGGGTCATTTGGAAATTGCCTTACTGGAGAAACACTTCTTACGTGAGTACTTGAAGAATTATGTCTCCTTGTATTCCATGTGGAGTAAAAGTTGGGATTGCTGTACATGTCCAGTATATGCACGATGTTTCATTCATACCTACAGGTTATGTAATATAAGAATGGTGTTCGGCGTGCTTTGTATACTAATTTGGAATTTACCAAGTATTTCAGTATCTGACCCAAATGACAGTGTGATGCTATTTAGATATGAGATGCTAGAAGTAGGGTGACCAAAATTCTGTCCCAAACACTAAAATTCACTATAAATCACTATAAGAAATACATAAGAAATATAATACAAAAAAAAAAATGTGATTGTCATTTAAAACATCCATTTGTATAGCCGTCATGTTAGAGCGGGAAAATAGCCAACCAACGCATTCGTACTAGAGTGGGATTTTTCCGCTGATGACATGAGGGGCTTTCGCACTGGATAGTTCCACAGGGTGTTTCCCTGAGAACTAATGGTTCCTATAGCTACGTTTTCCTGGTTGCGTTCGCACCGCCAGTAGGAACTCTGAAGTATGCCGCGCTTGTTGTTGTGACTTTTATTTTGACAAGCAGAGAACTCAGTGTTCATTAGATCACGATCTGTCGATACGCGATTAGATAGAACTGTTATACATAGAAAGTAGACAGTATATGAAAAGGTATTAGCGTATGCCGTGTGGTTGATGTCCATTTTGGCTAGCTGAGCATTGGTTTGGATTGGTCCCCTCAAAGTTGCGTTGGATTTTCTCCTCAGAGTAAAGGTTAAGAGGCTCATCTATCACTGTTGTCCATGTTCGTAGAGTTAGTTTGTGGAGTAAATATATAGGCTATAATCTGTGTGTTCACCTAGTTCCTGCGGTGCGAACACGCCTAAATCCGTGTTCTTCTGCCAATAGTTCTAGGAACTATATGAAAAGGTTCCTCCAGTGCGAAAGCCCCTATGGATGGTCAAAGGAACCAGTGTAGATTTCATCAAAAGTCATTATATACAGCTACACTAGCCAGTTGAATCCGGTAAAATGCATTTATTGTTTGTATAGTCTCATAGAGGAAAATAAACTAGCCGCTACTTATGTTATTTTTTATCTTCTAGCTTGTTATTCAGTTGATCATATTAAGCAGACTGAATAGATCCCATAGAGTACATTACTCGAGCCTGGGTAAATAGGGTGCCAGTCACAGAACCGGTCACAATTAACAAAGCTTATTGGCGATTTAAAAAGTTATCACCCAATGTGATAGCAAATAGGCTTTAATTTAAATTAATATTAAACATAGTATAATAGCAGTAAATGTATCTATCACAAACGTGCCACGCATTGTCCTGCAATCGAGCAATAACATGGTGGTCACCCTAGCCAGAGGCAACGTCCCAAAGCCAAACTTTTGGTTTCGATCCATCATTAACATGCACTAATATGAGTGAGCACTGTAGAATAGTTTCACTGAAAGTTTCATTTTAATTTGTATGATTTATAAAGCCTTAACTGTGGTCATTTTTTTTATTTAAAAAAAATACTTCTGACCAGGGTCTTAAATTATTTGTAAATTGGGCTACTTTTACATTGTTGATAGATGGTTTTACCTCAGTGTTGTTTATTGTAGCGACTTGAACAGATAATTTGTTTGCTCTGTATCTTGACAGTGGGATATTGTGTTTAATGAGAAGGACACAGTTTTTGGTCAGTTTACCACATGGCTTAAATCTTGTTAACACCAAACTAAAAAGTTGTGCCACATGTATTGGTGTGAACAAATTACAATTGTTACCTTATTGTGGACGGATTAGCTATTGATCACTCTGAGTGTGTGGATGTGTGTGAGAGAGGAAGCTTTTTGGTACTTTTGTGTGAATGTTGTTGGTCAAAGTTTGCTATCTTTTTATGTAACAGAGTGTTCACACTTTGATAGTAAATCGAAAACACCTAATATGGAGAAAATGTTCTCGCTGCAGTTCCCATGAGAAAAACTGCTTTCCCAGATAGCAAACTGACATTGAATCAACGTGGAAATATGACATCGAAACAACGTTGATCTGACATTGTTTTGCTCATCGATTTAACGTTGAACCAACGTCAGGCGCGTCATTCTTTCAAAACTAACGGAAAATCAACTTGAAATCAACGCGTTGTTTCAACGTTATGAAAGCAAACCAATTTTCGATTTTCATTTAGCTTTGAAGAATGCCGCGTCTGACGTTGGTTCAACGTTAATTCGATGAGCAAAATCAACGTTGTTTCAATGTCATGAGAGACGTCGTTTCCACGTTGATTCAATGTCAGTTTGCTGTCTGGGTTGTTACTGGACTACTGTAAATAATGTTTTTATTAATGAGATATTTCTGCTAAAAATGAAGATTGTCAATGTGTTTGAATTCCTTCTGCTGAATTAGGGAGAAAACCCTGAAGACTGTTAAAGGGATAGTTCCCTTTGAAATGAATTTTTGATATGTTTTAGCTTACCTCAAGGGCATCCAATATTTAGGTGTCTTTGTTTCCACAGTATTTTCAATTTTGATATTTTTAGGTCAAACCGTTTTTGTCTGTCAGTCATATAATGGAAGTCAATGGGGATCTCCTCAAAGAGCATGCACAGAGAAGTCCAAATTAAACATGATTTAATGACTCGTAAATGTAAGTACACATTGATGGCCTAAGACACGAAACGAGCAGTTTGTGTGAGAAAACGAACAGTATTTATATCGTTTTACCTCTTGTAACCAAAGCCACGTCCAACTGATCTGAAGGAACGGGCGCTTCGTTCTGCACATGCGTCGGAAGTGATCTCTCTCGTGTGTACATCACTCATTGTTTACACCGAGATTTCGAAAGTTTGGAAGCTTGAAAGCATAAGTGGAACAATACTGATAAAAGGTATACCTTGAATATCCTATTCGACGAGCTTTGGGTTACTCGTCTACTTTGACCCTCCTTCAAAAGTTGTAGCAATTGTCTTGGCACAGCTACTAGAAGATTTTCAACTGTCCGACTGTTGTCACGCTCAGACATCAGACAGGAAGTGCAATAATCAGGCTTCAGTCTTCTCCGTTGAAGTCAAAGGGGTTGCTGTGTCCATTTCTTTTACTGTCTATGTGGCTGACGCGGTGTGATGACATCATTGTTTCACAAAATGTACGGATTGGCCGTGCACACGAAAACGCAAGGGTGTCGGTTTTAGATAAATAGCGGTTTCAGTGCAAAAACAGCGGATCCGTCTGGATGAAACGCCAATGCGATACAAAACGCATCTCCGTGTGGACAGGGCCTTAATCTTTTGACGACTCGTTTGAGAATCATTGAAAAAATGTGGTGATGTGCAATGTTGTGTAGTGTTTTTTGACCTTCGATATTGAAATTTGAAATTGCGTAATGGGGCACTTTAAATGCAAATGTTTCTGTAAGGGTTAGGGGTATAGACGATATAATTAGCTCAGTATAAGAACAAAAGCAGTCAATAGACAGTCCTATTTGAGAACACCATAGGAAAAAGCAACTGAAGGTCATTAGTGAATGACACAGTCACAATCTACTGTTCTATAAATAACCCGAAGCGTGCCTCTGTCTGCACACACAGAACCCACACATGAGAGGGAGTGAGACAGCACACACGAGTTAGAGGTAAGCTAGAAGAAAATGAATGGGGAGAGAGATATCAAATATGAAGTAGGAAAGGGATTACAGAGTGAAGCTGCTAGAGCGTGAGAACTGAGGATTTTTTGCTCTGGAAACACAGTATAGCCATATCTGTGAGCTCTGATGTGCGAATATGCATATCATACACACTTTATATGTGGAATTGCAGTGAAATTACAATGCTATAGTCCTGCCTTTTAGTTCAAACAGCCAATCGTGTTATGAGTCCAGTTGTAGATTTCGAACAGCAAGTTTGTTTATTGAACACGCATGACATTAGCTGGACCAGATCAGTGTTTTTATATGATTTGAGCTAAAGATTTATATGATATAATTAAAGTGGACATCTATAAGTCTTTTGAAGAAGGTCAAAGACTTGCGGGACATGTCTAAAGTTTACTTTTTTCATTGAACACAAGTTTGAATTGAATTGAACATGAATGAGATTTGTGAGCTGAATTAGAGCAATATATTAGTCATATGGGCTTCCTTTGGGATGCTTTTTTTTGTATTACTCATTCTGGTAGCTTGACAGTGCACTGTAAAAAATGATTTTTTGGTTAAGTAAATACTAGTGAAAAAACCCAATGTACTGTAATTTACTTGAAAAAGTTAGTTCAGGCAAGAATTTAAAAAAACTAAGTAAATTCCATATCAGTACTTATTTCAAGCGAGTATAAATGAAAGTGTAATATCAACTCAATAAAATGAAGTAAAAATTACTCAACTTTTCTGATACTGGGGTTCCCATCATGCACTGGACCTTGAATAATTAATGAGGTTAATTTTTCACTGGTTTCCAGCTGTATTTACACTGTTTTATCATTGATTTTTGTTTTCAGTATTAGTAAATTGCCATTTTGTGACATTTCGAGTACATTTTTTGCTTAAAACGACACATTCAAACACGAAAACGATCCATCAAATGTTACCACCATTGCGTATTGTCTACCAAGTATTGAGGTGTTTGCATTCACATAAGGCTTAAAGTCTGACATGATGTATATATAAATTACTTAGATGATCTAAGTAAAGAACATACTATAAATGACTAATAAAATTCAAGATAATTGTTTTAGTGAAGTGTAATACAAAGGCAAAGGAAATCGGTATTAATCAACCTTTTACAAGCCGAGTTAAAATTACTTATTTTTTGTAAAGTTTACTTAATTCCACATTCCAAGTAAATTTAACTTAAAGATTTCTAATTAAAGCTACTGATAAATATGTTTAGGTTTTTACTTGGCAAATCTTTGTAAATTTACTAGCATTTTCTGAGTGAGATCGTTTAGCGAGGTTTTTTCAAGTAAATCCTACTCCAAATTTTTTACAGTGTGTAAATCACCTTCTACTTTTTATTTTTTTTCTGTATAAGAT